CATATAGATATACACATACTCTCGCCCCCCCACTCTTTTATACATACACACACACACACACACACACAGACACACACACATATACACACACACACACACACACACACACACACAGCTCTATTCAGACTCGGTAACAAAGCCCAGGGCCTCAATCCAGCATGTCTAAAAAAACACTCCTGAGTGTGTTTTGTAAGTGTGTGGGCGTGTGCGTGTCTGTGTGTGTGAGTGTGTGTGTGTGCGTGTTGCACTAACAAGGCCCAGGCCTCAGCATGATGACGATCTTAACGAGCTGTCTTTCACTGCTCAGCTCCCAGTGCAGACCTCTGTGTCATTAATGACTGTGTGTGTGTGTGTGTGTCTGTGTGTGTGTGTGTGTGTGTGTCTGTGTGTGTGTCAGTGCTATCAATGGAATAATGTCTCAGCAGGACAGAAAAAACATTTAGTCTCTTTTGGCACCACAATGTCAAGGTTTCAATGGCTGCTGTCTCCTTCTGAGTGAGTGTGTGTGTGTGTGTGTGTGTGTGTGTGTGTGTGTGCGTGTGTGTGTGTGTGTGTGTGTGTGATTGGGTGAGTGTCTAATTGTGTGATGGTGTGTGCATGTGTGTGTGCAGCTGCTGAATTCACAGATTTCCTGTATTTTATTGGCCGTACTGGATGTTTAGAATAACAGAACAGGTCTCCTTCTTCTTTTCTTCTTCCCATTGATGACATCACAACGTGTTTACCCATAATGCATTGCACCAGTGCCAGTCTTATTTTAGGAATGAATCCTTAACTTATTCAGACAAAAGAAATGAATCTGTTAGTGTTGTTACAACCGAGGGACACCACACCAAGCGCAGGACGGTTTATATCTCCCATCATGCATCTCTTCCATCAGAGCCCCAACGTCAGCCAGGCAATGACATCACTGTGACATCATCAGGGGTTTTTGACAGAGTGCGTGTGTGCGTGTGTGCGTTTGCTGTCCTGCAGGGGGTCAAACTCATCTACTGCACTTTGCACTTTGACCTCAAGTGGGCGGGACCATTAAAGTCACACACAGTCATTTTCAAACCTTCACTGGTCTCAATTCATGGTTCTAAAACGGGTTCATCACCAGAACCGCAGGTGGAACCGTGAGACTAAAGGATGTAGTTACAGACCAATCGCAGCCTTGTGCGCTGCAGGAGGCTACGTAGCTCTAGCCGCTAGTCGGACGTCGCACGCAAGGAGGTGTGAAAAGACACGCAAGGGACACGCAAGGGACACGCAAGGGGCTCTTCCGTGTCCTTGCGTCTCTCTGAGAACGCAGACGCGTAAACAAGGCTGAAGCCGTCGGAAAGGTCTGACGCACTTTGTCCGCTTGCAAAATGCTTCTCACTCCACTTTTCAATCCCGCTCATGCTGATCTACCTCGTGCCTTACCCTAATGCCCACTGTTGTTGTTGTTGTTGTTGTTGTAAACTGTCCATACAAACATCACCCTCCAGCTCACTGAGGCTCATGCGTGTGTGTCTGTGTGTGTTCAATCAGATCCTGTCGGCGGCCCGCTGAGAGTCACACAAGTTGTTGTCCAGAAACAACAAACATTTTCTTTTGGATTTTCAAAATAAATGACGGGAGAAGAGACGTGTTACTTTGTTATAAGATATCACATGTACTGTAGTACCCAGGCAGAAACATCTGCTTGTTTAAAGTGAAGTGAGAGCTTCATGAGGTAAAGCTGCATTCTCTGTAGTGACCAACAGGGGGCGACTCCTCTGCTCCCATAGACGTCTATGAGGAAATGACTCTACTTCTCTGTAGTGACCAGCAGGGGGCGACTCCTCTGCTCCCATAGACGTCTATGAGGAAATGACTCTACTTCTCTGTAGTGACCAGCAGGGGGCGACTCCTCTGCTGCCATAGACGTCTATGAGGAAATGACTCTACTTCTCTGTAGTGACCAGCAGGGGGCGACTCCTCTGCTCCCATAGACGTCTATGAGGAAATGACTCTACTTCTCTGTAGTGACCAGCAGGGGGCGACTCCTCTGCTCCCATAGACGTCTATGAGGAAATGACTCTACTTCTCTGTAGTGACCAGCAGGGGGCGACTCCTCTGCTCCCATAGACGTCTATGAGGAAATGACTCTACTTCTCTCTTGGTTTATTCCCTCAGTAAATGTTGGTCTTTTCAGAGTCAAACTGACCAGGAAGCAGGTGATCCTTCAGGGCGGGGCTACACGTTGATTGACAGGTCTCTACAGACGTGAGTGTCCATGCACATACATGGTCACTTCCTGTTCGGCTAAAAGGGATCCAGTTCATAAACATCTCTGCACCTCCTCCTCTCGTCTCAGGAGGTCTCTGTGGGACGGAGAGACTGACAGATCCATCTACGTGAGAATGTAGAAACCCACAACCTGTGCGGACGGAGTCACCACACGCCTCCGTGGGGGGGGGCAGATAAGGAGGTTATGTGTGAGGAGCAATTTATTTCTCCTGGCAGGGTCGGAGGACCCCTGAGACACGTCTCACAACCCCCCCCCCCCACAGCAGGAGTCTCAATAATGGAAATACTCCCGAGCTGTGTTTGCATTGGGAGACGACCGATGATATGAAGGAGACACGGAGGAGACAGGATGAGACAAAAAGAGGACACAGAGCAGACAAAGAGACCTCCTTCTTCTGCTCTTCCTCCTCCTCCTCCTCCTCCTCCTCCTCGCACACACACACAAACGACACGTCTCCTCATAATCGTCCCTCAGCTCCAAAAGTCTGTTTTCTTCTCTCTTGCAGTAAATCGTCGTATCGCTGAAAAATCATTAAAGCTCCAAACAATGACGAGAAACAGCAACTGTGGATTCCTCTACACACACACACACACACACGTGTGTGTTGCCGTGGCAACGCCGGCAGGAGGACAGATGGGTGTAATTTTGTTATTTTTACCTCCTCCGGGACGCGGCTGCCAGCTCAGGTGAATTAGCATCACACCTGTGTGTAATTGGCTAAATTAGCTTGTCGAGCAGCAGAGCTGAGACGGAGGTGGTCGTCTGTGTGTGTGTGTGTGTCTGTGTGTGTGTGTGTGTGTGTGTGTGTGTGTGTGTGTGTGTGTGTGTGTGTGTGTCAGGTAAAATCAGAAAGGAGCTGTTTATGTTGTCAGAGAAGAAGAAGAAGAAGAAGAAGAAGAAGAAGAAGAAGAAGCTCAAGACGAGGAAGAAGAAGAAGAAGAAGAAGAAGCTGAAGAAGAGGAAGCTGTCGGGCAGCGAGATGTCACACCTGGAATGGAAATGTCACCCTGCGGCTGCACACATACACACACTGAGAGACACAGTAACACAAACACACACACACACTGTGACACACAGTCACATGAGAGCTGCTGGGGAAAAGACACAAAACAAACCACACACACACAGACGGAAAAACACAAACAGAAGAGGAAGTAAACACACAAACAGGAAGCTGGACGCACGCACACACACACACACACACACACACACACACACACACACACACAGAGAAAGGTGTGATCAGTGTGTAATACTACTGTAATACAGTATTTAATATTTGTTGTATTTAACTGTTTCCATATTTTACTTTAACTCTTTACCTCATTCGTATTGCTGTTGTGTTATAACTATTTATTTTACACCTGATAACTCTATTGTTGTTTTGTTTGTTTGTATTCTTCTGCTGTGGTGTTGAATGATTCGTAACTGATCACAAACCGATGTTGAGATATAACGTCATTAACAGAGTGCAAATGTAACCGTAACTTAAGGAATCATGACAACAATTGAATAAAATACATGATACCAATAAAAGGAAAAGACTCGCCCCTGAGCGCAGGATAAACGGTTTGACGATGGATGGATGGAGTAAGCAAGTATGGTGAGATCATGAGTGACAGACATAAAGAAGGATACATGTTCATTTAGTGATAGACACGTAAATCATGTCATTCTTCTCAGCATTTTGTGGCCTTCAGAGGAATCTGTGGCTGCTCTGACCTCTTGAGGAGGAGAAGAGGAGAAGATCTCTGGTCTGCTGGCTCCACCTCATGGTGGCTCCATGTAGCAACCGTACTTTGGTTTTATTCCTCAATCCTGTGGGAATGTGAGATTTCAATTCGGGGCCTCTTCAACCATTTTAATCCTTATAAACTTCTTCCAAATGTATTTATATTAAATTCTCAAATCCAGATGTTTGGTTGGTTTCATTTTAACTACATACTTTCATGTTCAATATCAAGAATCAGGGCAATCAGAACATTATCATTAAAAGATGTTAGACATACAAGGACTTTGACTTGTGCGTAGCAGCAGGCAAGACTATATACGTATCTCATGTATGTGAAAACTTACACGAGACACGTATATATCTCATGTAAATTTGATATATTCCAAGAAAGATTGTATTATGGATTATTTAAATAAATATGAATCAAATTCCTTTCAACTAAATCATTTTTTTTAAATACTTCATTTTTTCTTATTTTTTGTTTTATTTCATTTTATTTCATACACCGGTGTGATTCATCTTCCACGCGGTTGATGGCGACAGTGATGACGCTTCATAATCTCCACTTCCGGTCCACGTAACAACAGAAGAAGAGAAAGCGGAAGTAGCTGCTCGTATGTCGCTGGTTACACGCTAGCAGTTGAGGTTGTTTGTGCTTATCGACAGTTATAATGAACAAGCTGATAAAACCTCAGGAGTTCGACTCGTACGAGCTGGAGGAGCCGAGCGACGAGGAGCGAGCGGAGAGCAGGTGGGAACATTGGCAATGGCGACGTTAGCGCTGTAGCTTTAGCACCACGAGGCTAACGGGTTGCTAACATGTAAACAAGCTGAATCCAGCTGAAAACCGGGCAACTGTCCTGTTAAAGTGTTTCTCTCCATGCGGCGTGTTATTTATAATAATACGGAATGATGTCGGCTGGTCGGTTCACTGTTGGTGCTCGTTCACACCGCTAAATGTTGTTAGCAACAACTGTAATGTTCTTTTATAAGCACAGTAATATTGTCATTATACAACGTATATATATTTAGTAATGAATACAATATTACTACATACTCAGATGCAGTTCCAATATAACAATAATTCACTGAGAATAATCCTTAGAAACGTGTTACTATACTGAAAGTGTATGAGACGTGTTGCTTAATGCAGAAACTAAAACCGAGCTTATTCAGAATTGAGATCAATAATTTGGTAGGAAATACAGCAACTAAATACTAATTACATTACAGGTCATTTAGACTTACATTACACTAATTGATTATGTTAAGATCCTATTTGTTAATAAGTCCTTTTTAATGATGAGTGACGTATTTCCAAAAGACAATAGTGAGCAAGTAGCTATAGCCGAGTATTTCAAACATGTACTACATGTAGTTACAGACTGAATGTGAGAATTGGACGTTATCATGGTGACGTCACTCATTAGTTTGAGTGAAGCCTCACATTCTGAGATCTGGAGACCAGCAGCTTCAATACGTGAAGCCTTGGCTTCCCCTTTAAAGAACCACCGGTGGTCTCCTGGTTTTCACACACCGATATTTGGACGAGTAGAACGTGAAGCTCTTGTCTGGCTGTGCTTCAGCTCAGAGGACGAGCTGGAGGTTCTACTCAACGGGACTCCGGAGCAGAAGAAGAAGCTGATCAGAGAGTACCTGACGGGGGAGAGCGAGTCGTCCAGCGGGGATGAGTTTGAGAAGGAGATGGAGGCGGAACTCAGCTCCACCATCAAGAGCCTGGAGGGAACGTGGACGCCAGCAGCAGCAGGTAGAACCTAAATACTCACCAATAATTCTGAATCATTCAATGACGAGAAAATAAAAGATTTGTTTTCATGTATCAAAACCAATCTTGTCATCATCACTTATCTGTTTTTGGAGGATGAAACTGTATGAACATTGTGAGGCTATTGTGTTTCTTCTCCTGCAGACACCACGGGTGGAGGAGGTGGAGGAGGTGATGGAGGAGGAGCCGGTGTTCCAGCTCTTCCCAACCCCCAAACATACGATGAGGTTTACTTTGACTCTGACTCAGAGGGTGAGGAGACGCCCGGTAAGCACAACCGTTCCTGAACATTCCCACCAATAAAGAGAAAGTCAATGAATATGTCTGTTCTGACGACCTTTGCTCCGACAGGCGGCTCCACCGGCCGGAGGCGGAGCCAGCGAGCCGTGCCGACCAACGACGAGCTGCTGTACGACCCCGACGAGGACGACCGGGACCAGGCCTGGGTGGACGCCCGCAGGAGACGGTGAGGCGCCTTATCATTTATTAGCACTGCTCATCCAGACTGCAGGTGTTTGGTTGTCTCACTCTGCCCGGGGCCTCGTTCCTCCCCCAGGTACCACAGCGCCAAGCGGCCCAATGCGGGGTCCAACCCCGGCCGGGCTCCGCGTCTGATGAGCAGCGACGCCGTCCTCAACTGTCCCGCCTGCATGACCACGCTCTGCCTGGACTGTCAGAGGTGAGACGACAACGGAACGTTGTGTTTGTATGTGAAAGCTTCATTAACACACAGCAGCGTGGAGGACAAACAGCTGGGGGACGCGTCCTCTGAGTGGGACAGAACTGTGGTTTTATCCAGCGCTTCCTGAATGCAAACCCTTGTGACCCTTGGAACACATTTCATCACGCTGGAGGTGGAAGATGGAAACGTGAGGGATCTTCTTCAGCTGTGAATTTAACTAACCAACTAAATCCCAGCTGAAGAAGGAAGGAAATATTTCTATAATCGAATGATCAAGAACTTATTTATTTGTTCATCTTTCTCTTTGTTTCAGCCTCTCTGCTTTAGTTCTCCTGTTTTTATTTGACACTGTTTGGGTTTAAGATCACAAACGTCAGCGTGGAGCTGTGAGCATACAATAATACATGAACACTGAACGGAGGCTGAGAATCGTTGTTGCCTGAGATTCGCTCGTCTTAAAGTCGTCCGGCTCTTTTTAATCTTTTTTTTCCGCTCAGGCACGACAAGTACCGGACGCAGTACCGGGCCATGTTCGTCATGAACTGCACGGTGAAGAGAGACGAGGTGCTGCGCTACAAACGGCAGGAGCAGCAGCAGCAGCAGCAGCAGGGGAGGCGGAGGAATAGGAGGCGGGGCCAGAGGACGGAGACCCCGATGGACGAGACCCCCGAGCCGGCTCCGGAGGGAATGCAGGCCGACGAGGTCTACCACCCGGTCCGCTGCAGCGAGTGCTCCACGGAGGTGGGCGTGTTCGACCGCGACGAGGTCTACCACTTCTTCAACATCCTGGCCAGCCACTGCTGACCCCCGCAGGGCTTTTATTATGGCGGGGAGTCGGTCTCTGATTCTCCACGACAGAAGACGGAAGAGGAGACACGAGTCTGGACAGCAGCTGCACGCTGTGTCTCGCTGGCTTTTAAAAATATATCTCCCCAAAACTGGAACTTGAATCTGAAGATCTTATCGCTGCTCTGGTTGTCAGAGCCAAAGTTTTTGTGCTGATATAAATATTCTTATCAGACAACTAAAAAGGCTGAGACATTGGTAATCAGTAAATGTACATTAAATAAAGGGTTTATAGCGCTATAACGTGATCAATGAACACATGAAACATGTGTCCATAGTTGGTAGATGGTGTTCATCGTAAGCAGAGTGGGGATGTTCAGACGTGTTTTGCTATGATTGTTCTTCTCCATCCGGTAGAATCTGGCTGCTTTGGAGAAAACCGGTTTAAGTTGAATGTCAGTAAAGTCAGATACCGCCGTGTAAAGCCCAGATTTTCTGTTAGGGTTCTAAAATACTTTAAAATCATCCAATTTGTCCCTTTAATAAACACTCAGATTTACATTATCGGCTTTCATGAACGACTTGTTAACGTCTGCGTACCTTTATGAACGATAAATAGAGCAAAGTATCACCAGATGATTTGAACAAAAATGGCTATTTATCTGTTGTAAATAGATTTCTGAGTGTTTGAACACACGATGTCTTTTTGTATTGTTTACATGCTGATGTTGCAGCGAGTGACGTTCTGTGGGAAAGAACCGGTCCACGAGCTCCTTGTTGTCTTCCTTTGTTCAGTGTGGGACAAAGTATAACTGGTGGTTGTTGTTGCCTTAGTTCAGCGCTCTGGACTCGTTTTTCGACCACAAATGTATAGTTTCATGTTTAAAACGGCCACGTGCTGTAGTTTTTAATAAAACAAGTGGTAGGAAATAGTGTTTCACTAGATACACCGAAGTAAAGTTCACGATGATGAGAATAAAACACGTGACCCAGTGCAGGAAACGATCAGCCAGCACGCAGGACCCTTGACCTGTGACGCGTGACGCTCTTCGACAACATTCACTGAACCAAAGGAATCTGCGTATTATTTTGAAATCCGGATGCTGGAACTCCCTCGCGCTGCGTCAGACCCCCGCGCCTCACGCGATTGGCTGAAAAGCGAGCACGCTGTGTCTACGTCACACGTGGAGCGGCGGAAAGGCGCGGCGCGGGGCGGGTAGTCGCTGTGTCCGTGGCCGAAGTCGGAAGCATGTCGCTGGGGGACTGCTGGAAGCAGCTGTCCTGGTTCTACTACCAGTACCTGCTGGTGACGGCGCTCTACATGCTGGAGCCCTGGGAGAGGACGGTGTTCAGTATCCTTCAGGCGAGCTAACGGGCTAGCGGGCTAGCATGGCCGACGTCGCGTACAACCCGGATGCACAACACCGCTTGTGTTGTTTGTGGATGAACGCGTCCGTTGTGTTGTCGTGTGAGTCGTATTGTTGTAAGTCGGACAGAACACTTCGTAGTTACTCGATAAAGTTACACCAACACCGTCGTTTGTCCCTTACGGCGCCCGTAGTGACGTATAAGTGAAACTCCGGCGGAGAACGTGATGTTTGCGTGTGAACTACTTCTGGATTAGTTGCGACCTGGTCGGTAAACGCGCGTTAAACACGTAAAAACGTCCAAAGTTCCGCGCGGTGACGTCACCGAGGCCTCTAAACTCGCGCAGGCGGCTTTTTATCTCAAACCACCGGCGTTCAACGTGAACGAGGGGCCTCGGCAGCGGACGTGTTTGAGGTGCGACCGGGCCCTTTGGTTGCGTAACACCGGTTCACCCTCACCTGTCTCTCTTCCGGTCACGTGTGTTTGTGCGTTAATGATCCACATGAAATCCCTCAGATGCTCTTACAGCAGTCCTGACAACACTTTGGGCTTGATAAGCTCGTTCACGTCCTCATGGATTCCGTTTGGACATGAAAGTCAAAAGATGAACTGGGAAAAAAAAGCCTTTGGCCATGAAAACTAAAGTCAACCAGCTGTGATTTAAATCCGGTTTACAGCAACATTTAACCGCTTTATTTGTGATGAAACCAAAAAGCATGGAATGTTTGAAGGACGCTACAATACTTGGTAGCAGATCTATCCGAGGTCATGTTGTGCTCCTCCCACTTCCTCCTTAGCTCCTCCTCCTCCGACAGAGGGCTTATCGAGAAGGCCGGCAGGGCGGCACGGGAAGCAACAACATTCAAGGACGGCACATCATGGTAAAATAACAGATATTCGAGGTTCAACCAAGGAAGTGGACCCACCGGCCCTTCTACACCCCCCCCCCCCTCCTACTAGGGAACGTCTCCAAACTATCCGTCTCGGAACACCGGGCTTGAGAATATTGTCCTTGTAACATCCTGCCTCGCTGAGGCAGCACGGCGGGTCGTGAACCGTTCAGATTGGACGTGTGGATGAGCCTCTGTCTCGCTGGGGGGTCTGTGGTCTCTTTACCTGTGTCCGTCATGGCTCCCCCACCTTAGTTGATGGAGAAAGTGACGTTCCACCCCAGACAGTAAAAAAATGTAACTTTTAATTTTGGCTTTTATTTAAGGCGCCTCACACGGCCGGCGTCGCTGTTTTCCTCTTTGTACATAAATGAATCATATTTTATTTTGCTTTTATTGTGATTTTTTTTTTTGTTCTCCAGAAGTGATCTTGTCGTGAATTCCTGTTCGCATGTGACGTATTTCTGGTGTCCGTGTGTTTATACCAGCTGATGCTGAACACTGCGCTGGAATCATTAAAGGGACGTTTCACTTCGCTTTGACGTGTTGTGAAGTCGATGTTCGTTTCCTGTACACACAAGCCCCGCCTCCTGCCAGGAGTCATGGGCCCCTTCTCGATAAACATTGGTCATGGAAAAGTCATGTTAGGTCAAATATTTTAAAGAAAAATTCGATATGTAATGTCAGTCATTTCTATGGATGTCATGGAAAAGTGAAATCTTGCAACATAAAATATTTTGAATAGAAAGTCAATGTAAGGTGGAAAATGCATGGACGAAGTCAAATTAGGTAAAAAAAGTCCAAATACTTATTGTTAATGTCATGGGGGAAAAAAGTCAAACTTTAGGTACTTTTAGAAATCTGAAATATTTTTTAAAAGTCAAACTACGTAAGGTGATTTAAAAAGAAAACTGTAATATGGAGAAGAAACGGTCAAATATTAAGTTGTAAAAATGTCATGGGACGAACATTTTGTCAATTGTTTTAGAAAGTTAAAATATGTCATGGAAAATATTAGGTACAAAAAAATTAAATATTAGGTCAAAGATTATTGGGTCAAACTAAGGTATAAATGACAATGTATTAAGGGGAATGATGTTTTGAAAAAATATGTAAAAATTTAGTAAAATGTTTTTTAAAAAGTCCAAATATGTAATATGTGTTTTATTGAACATTCAAAATACGTTCTGTCTAAAGTAATTGAAAAAAATATTGGGTAAATTGAAAAACAAATGTAATAATTTCATGTCCAAAATAGTTTAAACAAAAGTCATAGTGTAGTATATCAAAAACAAGTCATAGTTTAGTTGGTCAAAAAAGTCATAGTGTGTTTTATGTGAATTCACAGGACAGCTGGTGAGTGGGACAGACGGGATCCGGGTTACGACAGCAACGCAGCGTCGTGGTGGGGTTAAAGGTCAGGTGGTTGGAACGTGTGATTAAAGGTGTGCAGCCAAATAAGAGTTTCTAACTCTGTTCATCCTCTGGGAAATGATCATGAATCATTTCTTTAAAAATGTACAATGTGGTTAAAGCTAAAAAGAAAAGAAAAGTCATAATACAGTATGTCAAAAAAAGTAATTTTACAATAATTCTAAAAAAGTCCTGAAAAAGTCATAATGTATTACATAATATATTCTATTACTCTTCAGGACAAAAAACAACAAAAGAAGTAAACCCAGATGTTTAAAAGATGAATATTTCACATGCAGGAAATGAGGTGTCGTGCAGTTCCCCTCTGGTCCTCTGGGTGGCGCTGTGGCTCCTCCCCCTGCGCTCTGTGACGACACGCGGACTGTTTCCATCTCTGGGAAGAGCGACAGTGTTTTAATGAGTCCTGCCTTACATATTCACATTATTCATTCTACTGCAGGAGGAGGCTTCTTCTTCTCCGTGGAGTAAAATACTTTAGATAAGCATTATTGTGTAATGATCCATGTAAACAAATCAGATGTTTGCTGGTAAAATATAAAACAGAACAAATAAACAATCACTTGAAGAAAAATAGTTTGAAGGAACAAATTCGAGGATAAAACCTGCAGTCTTGTATCTTCTTCATCATCTCCTGAACCTTCCTCATATCATACAAATGAACAAACACCAAACAAGCTCTTCTGCTGCCACACAAAACAGTTAATAACAATAACAATAACCTTCCTTCACTTCTGTTCCCTGCAGACTGAGACATAAACTCATGTTTACAATGTTTACTGAGGGAATAAATCCAGAGAGAAGTAGAGTCATTTCCTCATAGACGTCTATGGGAGCAGAGGAGTCGCCCCCTGCTGGTCACTACAGAGAAGTAGAGTCATTTCCTCATAGACGTCTATGGGAGCAGAGGAGTCACCCCCTGCTGGTCACTACAGAGAAGTAGAGTCATTTCCTCATAGACGTCTATGGGAGCAGAGGAGTCGCCCCCTGCTGGTCACTACAGAGAAGTAGAGTCATTTCCTCATAGACGTCTATGGGAGCAGAGGAGTCGCCCCCTGCTGGTCACTACAGAGAAGTAGAGTCATTTCCTCATAGACGTCTATGGGAGCAGAGGAGTCGCCCCCTGCTGGTCACTGCAGAGAAGTAGAGTCATTTCCTCATAGACGTCTATGGGAGCAGAGGAGTCGCCCCCTGCTGGTCACTACAGAGAAGTAGAGTC